GGGGGGGGGGGGGGGGGGGGGGGGGGGGGGGGGGGGGGGGGGGGGGGGGGGGGGGGGGGGGGGGGGGGGGGGGGGGGGGGGGGGGGGGGGGGGGGGGTCTTCACACGTGTGGTCGGATGCGATTTTCGCATCCTTTGAGGCAGGCGAGGGAGGGGGAGACGGTACTCGTAGGTAGATCGATCAATACACGCGTTGGTACGACGCGCTTCAACGGCTGTTGACTTCTTGCGGGATTCCGAGCTGATCACCGAAAGCGATACACACGCGGAGACTTATATGATACACTTGCGGGTGTGCCTACGGGGACGAAATACAACTACGACAGAAGGCACGTTCGAGCTCAACCCACCACGTGACCCAGTTACTACCTTGTCAACCAGCAGTCGTTCCGGTGACCATGCAATTTTGTCGTAATGGAATATGGAAACCCGTCAAGCGGGGGCGGCGCCCACCTGGAAGTTGAAGATAACCAGGAACGGCGGACCGAGCCTACTGCGGCCACCCTCCTCATCGAAATCGTCGTTACCCCCAGCATGACCCTCTCCCGCGTGCCCTCCCGATCTAGCCGTAAGCTCTGTGATCTTCGAAGCGCATCGCCCCTTGGTGGCGATGTGGTCCACTCTTCCCCTTGACGCGCACGCCTCCTCTGCGACCGTCGCCGCCGGAACCTCGTGGGGTCGGTCGGTGCTGGAGAAAGTGAACAACTCGGCGTAGACGAGGGGGCACACGGCCGGTTCCGCCTGTACCTGGGTGGCGGGGAGGGGGGGGGCGTGAATCAGTAATGCCATCCCAACCAATAGCAGACTAGACCAGGGAACAAACATGGAGACGAGCTCAAATGATAGCAGCAACATAAGGCTCCGCGGTGGAACGTAAGACGCTTTCAAAAAACGGGTGTGTGCTTGCGTGTGTGTGCGCGCGCTCTGCCCGAAATCATCGAACCTAATCCTCGTGGTATATTGTCAAGTACTGCGACGCAAGAAAAGTCGGCACGAGTAGCCTCACCCACGAGGTAGCATCCGCGAGGTAGATTAGCCCCCTTGTGTGTTGCTTAACATGACCGCAATCGATTGGCAGCTTCTTTCACACCAGTCCCCTCGACAAAGGTCCAGCAGAAGCACTGCAGAGAGAGCGAGCTTACTCGCTCTTGCAAGCGCTGGCACAAAGCCGAATGCCATGAAAAAGGCGCCATCATAGCGAGCGCTCACACACACACTTTTAAGTCGACGCGGAGGTGTGGCGCATCGTGTACATACAAGTACATCGGGACACCATCCTAGCGCTCACACACACACACCCGTAGGCGCGGAGGAGCTGGAGCGCATCGTACACAAAGCGCATCGCACATATAAAAGAGAGACAGCAGGGGACACACACAGGGTCTCACCTCCCGACCATCGGCCAAGAAGGACGGGCCTCTGACCCTGAAACGGTGCCCGTCGCCACCGTCCTTGACGCCGGCGAGCAGTTCGACCCCGCCGCCACCGCCGCCGCCAGCGTCACCACTTCGCGCCGCTCTTCCCGAAAGATCGACCCCGTTCCTCCCTCCGTCTTCCCCGCCGCCGGTAACGGCCGCGGCAGTAGCAGCAGCAGCGGCAGCGGCCCCGCTCCCTTGTTGCGGAACATCCGCGGGCACGGTCCCCGCTGCCGACGGCCTTCTCGCCTTTCCCCCGTCCGCGTGGCTGGAAACGGACGTCCGTCCATCGAGCAACGCGCCGCCGCCGGTCTCCTGCGGCGCGACTGACACCGTCTCGGCATCGGGCCTCGGCCGGAGAACGGCGCCGGCACTGGCATAGCTCTGCACTCCACCGCCGCCGCCGTCTCCGCCGGGCTTGGCCGTCGGCCGCTTCCAAAGGTAGCTCTTCCGGCGAGGGGAGAGGCCGCTGGCGCCGCCACCGCCGCTGCTGCTCGTTTCGCCTCCGCCGCTGCTTCCGATGCCGCCGCCCCCGCTGCTACTGACGCCGCCGCTGTCGTCGATCCCGTCGTGGGCCTGCCAGGTCAAGCCGTTCATCTCGCCGTCGCCGCCGCCGCGGCCGGCACTCGCGGACCCCGCGCCGCCGTTCCCGTTGCCGTTGCCGAGGTGTGCGCCGGAGAAGACGTCGGCCATGGACCCACCAGCATCCTCCGAGAAGTCGTTGTTGCTGCGCCGGGTGGATGAGCGCTTGTACGGGTTGTACTTGGTGGGAAACTTTGGAACTCCCTGTGGGAGGGCACAGGAGGGAGAAGGCAGATGGTTTTCAAAAATCAACGTACAATAAACGCCACACGTATGACCAGGTCTGATACGTCAAACATACGCCGGAAAGTGTGTAGACTGGCGCCAGAATGGATGGCACGAACACGAGTTCAAGCTACTGGTTTTGTCTTCAATTCGATGAGTAGCTTAGCCCCCCACATTATGCCCCTGACGGGGTCCCAGATCATGGCCCACAGAAGCATTTATGCTTTCAACCGCACTGAGACTGACGTCTTTTCATCGTTCAGTCGGTTAGCGCTGTCGATGCTAGTAATAAAACAACACACGCAGGCACAGACACACAAGCGACTATATTGTGCATTTGCTTGCTGCAGGGGTGACGATCAAATCTTTGTCAGGGTGGATGTGGTGCAGAGATCCTCGCCTTTGGTCGTCTGCACGTGTTGTACTAACCCTGCGGGGATCACTAAATTCACCATGTCAAGGTCCATTTTCTCGGCCTGTGATTTTGGTGAGATTGGGAGGAGTCCACAATTGCGATGGGCTTGCGACACTGGCGTCGTGTTTTGAGGATGACGCGAACGATCCGGCTATGAAGGAAGGCTGAGGCGCTCGTCTTGCTGCAGACGAGGGAGTGGGAGCGGCCAAAGTGCTCAGTTCTCTCCCAACTCAACAGAAGCATTGTTCGAGGATGCAGGCTTCGAAAGATGGATTAGTCATTCCCCCAGGTCTACGTGAACGTGAAAAGGACGGGGATTGCACTCTAGAACCACCAGATCGGTCCTAATAGGTGTCACCATGATCAACCCTGCAGCCAGCAGAAGCGACGATAACTCGAAGCAAAACACAAATCACGATGAGGGAGCATCGAGTGAAACGGCAAGCCAACATGCGGGAACTTTCAACCCGTCTAGGTCGCCTCTCCACGTACAGCGGCCATGCGAAAGGCGACAATCGTTTGATCGTAGCTCAAAGGCACCAACGTTTGATCGTCGCCACCGCGAATCATTTTGCCTACTAACGAATACTAGCAATTTTGGCAACGAGCCAGTCTTCCGCCTAAACGCTTGTTACAGAACAAACAAGATTGGGAGGCAGTCTACCTTCGAGCTCGCTCGTTCCCTATCAGTGCGAACTCTCGTGTCTCTAGGAAACCATGGGATAAAGATCGTCAAAATCTCAGCAAAGCAACTGGTTCGGATTTCTTACGCGACGGGAAAAGAAGGTGGAAACTGAGAAACCATCGGATAAAGATCGACAACATCTCAGCAAAGGCAGCTGGTTCGGATTCCATAGGCGATGGGAAAGGCGGTGGAAGCTACCGCGATGGTCATGCAGAGGTGAATGGAAGAGGAAGGGATAACTCCAAGGAAGGTAGAAGAGATGACTCCAAGGAAGGTGGCGATGAGGACGTGCTGACGAGAAGGAGCGTGGTGATGATGGCACGGAGTTTTTTTTTTTTTTCCTTCACTTCAGATCAGCGCTCACAGCACTGGTGCTGTTTACTCCAACCCGTGGTCACACAGAAGAGCTCCTCTCTACCGTACCCTCTTGCGGTACTTTGCCTTCGATTTTCAATGCGAGGAGAGTTCAGCATCCGCGTACACACGAACTATTGTAGCGCTATCCACTAGGCCAGGAGCGGAAGCGAGAGAATAACTCACTTTGCAAGAAAAGCTCGCTTACGCCGGGATTCGAATCCCTGGCCTGACCTCTAGAAGGTTTAGAGGATACCAACTAGACCACCGGGGAAAATAGCAGTAGTCGAAACGAATGAGGGTGTAATGGAGGAGGAGAGAGGGATGGAAACAACAACGAAGGAGGAGATCGTGTGGAAGAGACCAGACCCAGAGGATCTTCCACACAACACGAACGCCGGAGGGACGGAGAACTGCCCAAAGTACAATAGTCAGGAGAGCAGCGACCACAAGGGGGATGGTAGAACCGGGACCAATACGCCGAGGGAGCCAAGGCGACCACGAGTAATAGCGGGAAGCCTCGATGGCCATGTGCACGTCTTACATCTGATACCGTTTTTGTCTGTGATCCGAAGAAAACCCTAAAACCCTAAACATGACCCCCTCGCGGGGTCCCAGATCGCGGGCTTTAGAAGTGTTTCCCCCATTTAGTGGCACTGAGACCGACGCCTTTTGATTGGTCAGCCGGATAGGTCGTTCGATGTTGACAACAAGAAAGACGACCATTTTAAGTTCTGGTGGCAACGCCGAGACGTGACTGACGTGGGAGGGGACAGCTCAAGGCAAACCCTCACCTTTGGCATGGGTATGTGGCGCTGAATGGCCTTCGGGTTGGGCATGGACATGGGCACGTGGCGCGCGATCCGTCGAGTGCCGGTCATGACGGCGTTCTTCATGTAGTGCATGCTCTTCCGCCCTGGAAGAACCGCCACACGCGGGAGTGGGAAAAATGTTATCGGGGTCGCACAATCAAGAGGTAGGGGGAGAGCGGGAGCGGGGGGGGGGACGACCAGAAACGATGATAGCACTATACTTAACATCTTATATCAGACGCTCAACCGAGACAGAGCACCGCTTCATACCAAAATAGCATCGTTCCTATCAAGTGACCTCTAACGCTCAACTGTTTTTTTTCGCTCAGACATGAACTTCTAATCCTCGAGTGCTCCGGAATTCGCCGTATACTACGCCGTTAACCTTATCCGTCGTGTGCACTGCGCGCTCCGTCTTCGTGTCCAACTCTCATCTCATCTCCGAAATCAGCCACACATCTGCTGCACTTGCATCAAGAACACCAAACCCCCGTCATTCGCTTCTAACGTCCGCGGGTCGCCGTGAAAGTAAACTCTCTCGAAGGTGTGCAAGTCTCCAAATCAACTAACTCTATTGAAAGTGTGCCTGTATTTCAAATCAACAACAAACGACGCCGACACACCAGAATTCCTTGGCGAGATCCCGAGCGGGGACCTAGGCGGAGACTCCGTCGCCAACCCCCCCTCAATCACCACGCCGTCCGCATCCCAACCGCCGGCCCCCGCCGCCTCGCTCACACCACTACCACGATCGTCTGCGTCTTCTTCGTCCTCGCTGTTCGCTGACGTGTCACCGTCTTCCTCTTGCGGGGGTAGGGGATCGGGGAAGCCTTCACCCCCTCCCCCTTCTACAGAACTATCCGCCGACCCCCCTACCCTGGTCTTGGCCACCGTTGCCGGCGGCGCAGGCGGCGCAGGCGCGCTGGGAGAAGACCGGGCGCGCGAGCGAGGAGGGGTGGAATCGCCGGCCCTGCCACCGCCGCCGCCGCCGATAGCGACAGGCCCGGGGTGTGAAGCCACCCTGGCGACGCCAGGGGGGCTCTCTAGGTGTGANGTTTCGCGGGGGGGTATGGACGGAGCCGGATACGTAAAGGCGCACAGCCAACCGTTGGTGACACATGATACCACATACCCTCGACAATTTTTCAAAGCTCGACTACTCCGCCAAGAATAGGATACCAAACTGAATTGCTCAGTTTTTGGAAAGATCTCGACGAGACGGCTCCAACGCCGTCATTTTCGGCACCGCCACTCTTTCTGCTGTGGAGTAATCGAGCTTTGAAAATCAGTCCGCCAAGGGGGTATGGTATTTTGTGTCCCCTACGGTAACCCGGACGCCAAGTAACCTGGCCCGTGATGAAGCGGGTCTGGTAGTAACGCTGTCTTTACGCTTCAGAATGGGGACGCGAGCAGAGACAGAGAAAGTGGTACAGTGGGGGGCCCTCAATAACACCGCTTTGCCCGGCGCATCAACCGGCGCTATTCAATGTCCAAACTGGCTTGGGTGATGCAGTCTGTGCCCAGCAATTTCACCGGCGCTACACAGGGCCACCGGCGCCAACCAACCGGCGTTATTGACGCCCCCCCACGGTATCCCCAATAGGGTGGTGCTCTTCCTGAAGGGTGGACCACCCTGACACCATTACCACAAACATCAGCAACAACAACAACAACAACAACAGCAGTCACTATCTGCAACGACAGCAAACAACGACAGCTCGGAATCAATCTAACCTTCCGGAGAGAGGAAGTCGAGCAGCGCATCGCTATCCCTGAGGGCAGGCTGCTTCAACGCCACCTGCAAGAAGTGCTGGATGCTCCGCCGTCGCCGCGTCAGGCGGCTGGCGTCGAAGCTTCGCCGGTACGAATGAGGCAGGGGAGGGAGTTCCACTGGAAAGAAGTTTCCAGGAAATTTCACCGTGGCGAGGCCCACGGAAACGGAGCAGCCAGCAAGCACGAGAAGCAGGGCAGCAGGGAGAGATATTTTGGGGGGGGGGCGTATTCACGTTATGCATGCCTTAGCGGTCGGATCATTGACCACGCGTCTTCGAGAGGACGCAGCATTGTTCTCACAGGACCGATCATCACCGATGGCCGATCGTTCCTTCGTATGTTGTGCGTGTGGGCGGGGAGACGATAAACCAGCGTGGAAGCGTATCACCAAATGCAGAGGTAGGCAGCCAAGAAGGGCGAATCTTCCCTCGCCTAGCAGGGCCAGGCTTGAATGCTGCAGCTTGGACGACGTTTGAATCGCGACAAAATGTTTCACAGCTCGGTGGCCAGGTGCGCTCAACTTTTTCACAATCGACTCTGTGTCTGTCTGCCTGCAACATCTAACACATTTTGGTGAGACGAGAAAACATCGCCGAGCGCGTTTAGGCGGCGGAACAACAAAACGACGCCGGGCCAGCAAGGACCCCTGTTGTCCCAGCCGCGGTACCCTCCCTCACCGTCTGCCGCCGACACCTTGCTCAAGGCCGCCTTCAGCTTGATCATGTCCGCCATTCTTCTCCATACCTAGCCACAGAACACCAGCAGACACCGCAGCAGCAGCAGCAGATGTTATAGCAGCAACAGTAGCAGCGTGAGAACCGCTCAAGTATCAGCAGACGATGTCGATCTTGGAAGAATCGTATACAGTCCCGTGCCCGCTGTAAGCGTACCTCATGTTTTTCTTTTGTTATCACTTTTAAATCAGCGTTTACAATTTGCCTGGTTGTTCTTGAAAAAAGGTGTCCGTAACGCAGAGAAGCGCCGTAACAATACACTCCTTCCTGCTGTTATATCAAAATGGTGTCCTTTAAGCAGCGAGTGTCCCTATTTTTTTTTTCCCTTAGAGCAGGGACGACTGTACAGATAAAAAACGTCATCACTTGCGCGCTTGCGTGCCAAAAACTGTGAATATGACTTGCAGTAAGTGCACACACGTGCCTCCCGGCATTCATTTGGACATCATCCTTCCAGTCGCAACCACCACAGGCAATGACAACGGAGTAGATACGAAAAACAGAACGCCCACAACACTGCATAAAAATATAGGGGCAGCGCACCGTCCCGCCGTGCGTAGATGCCGTCCACAAATCTATCAATATTGTAACACGCACATCGTTTGGTTCGCCGTATGACAAATCCTGCAAGAAACACCCAGCAGATTCATTGCGGTTTCTCGCCAGCAATCCAAACACAACAAACAACGCAGATGTACATGAGAGGCTTGTCTCAGCCGGCTCGGTGGTGCCATAAGGATGCGAAAGATACTACACCCCCTCGACCGATCGTCAATGTTCCATGTTTCCGCGACCAAGGCTTGTGCCACAGCCGCCAAAGGATACCCAAGTTTTCCGAAAGCTCGGGAGGAGACCGTTCCAAGGCAGTCACTTTCGCCAGGCACCCTCTGCACGCGTATGGTGCACAGCGGTAGTAACCAAAGCTCGAAACTCGACGACCGCCTTCGCGATGATGTTATTGTGCGTGTTTCGTGTCCCCTACCATGACCTCAAGCCACCCCGTTTCCCCTACTAAGACCAAGTCAAACATACTCGTCACGAAGGCTGCTGACTCCTAGCTGCAATGATCTGTGCAGGCAGACGCACCTCCCAACGCGCGCCCGCGCTCGCACCCTTAGCCGACGTGGCTACCGTTATCTTGTAGCACGCGAACTTGCTGTCGACGACGCGGAAGTCGTTCAATAACAAGCTTGCTCCCTCCAGGGAAATTCTCACCTTTGGCTGATCAAGTGGTTCGATCGGAGGGACGGGGGGGGGGGGTACTCATAGTCGTGCATGCCGTAGTCGTTAGACCATTGACCTCGCATCCCTACAAAGCCGGGACGGAGCAC